TATGAGTTCATCCTGTTGACACCCAATTTTGACCCTCCTTCCTTCTAATTTATTGTTTTTGAGCTTCTAATTTAATAACGTATAAAATTATCCCTTTCACAACTATTTTTATTACTACAACTATATATCTTCTAAAATTATTAGTTTTATTATCAAAATTACTAATATTATTTTTTATACCTCTTATCTTAAAAAATCATTTGTCATCATTTTATTTCAAGTTTCATATTTTGTTAAATTAATTATACGTCGATATCTTGTATCTATATTTAATACTAGCATAAAGTCGTAATATCGATATTTTTATTTACGTAAATTATTAGTTGTCATCTTATAACATTTTAAGTATTGGTTATTAAGTTAGAAGTCCAAAACAATTGAAAAGAAGAAAAGATCCAAACAAAATTCAGCCCAAGCTAGGATGTAACCCAACATTTATCCCAAGAACTCAGCCCAAATCCACTCAAATATTCAGCCCAAATGTGAGCCCTAATTCCAATTTGTGCATACAGCTGCGCCTAGTCCAAAGGAGCAGCATCGTTCTTCCTCTTTGAGAAAGTTTCAGAGACCTTTAACATTATGCAGATCTTAGTGTCTCCATTTTCGTGCAAGAGCTTCACCTCTCTCTTCTGCAAAAAGCCAGCACCCTCTTCCTCTTCCTGATTCACTTTTTTTTTCTTTAATTCGGTCAACAAAAAGCCAAAATACTTTTGACATCTCTGATGAAGAATCACATGTACAGTTTTGAATTCAAAATGGCTCTTTTGACTCGATTTTAAAGAAATCCTGCCCAAATCAAGAACCCTAATTCCATCCTATAAGTATTAGGAGAAAGTGTCTGTTTTGGAGAGGTTGGAGCAGCCGCTGTCGTCCTTTTGAAGCACCATTTTTTTTACCTTTAAAAAATCACTTTTTTCTGGCTCTAGCATTTTGGTTTCGGTTTGGTTTCAGACCACAACAAATACATTGTTGTTTACTCTATTACTCTCCTTGTTGTTAGAGTTCGAGTTCAAAGCCCATCGGATTTAAGATTCGAGACCTGCCTCTAACGTTCACTGCCCCAAAAAAGGTGAAAACTGATTTTATTCTTTTACTTCATAATACTTTTCTTTCTCTTTTTTTTGTTAACAAATCTTGTATGTAGAAAGCATATTATAGTGTTTCCTGCCACTTTTAAAAAATATATGCTTTGGTTTTGGTGAGATTTGCAGAAGAAGTTATTTTACTAAGTTGAACATACATCGTCTGTTCCTAAGTCTAATGAACTCGTATTTGATAAAGAATACATTTTTTGGATTTTTTCCCTTTTTCAATAGTATTTAAATATGTGTTTTGTTAGGATATCAAGTTTCTTGTCAGCTGCATGTTACCTGTGTATACTAAATAAATGGAATTTATTTATTTTGAGCATTTTTTTTATTAACCATTAGTATATAAATTTGTATATATTGAACTGTCATGTATTATTTTTAACAAATAATGTTAGTCTTAGTCTACTTAGAATAGATATTGCCGTTTATACTCTTACTAATTGTTGTTTGTTGATTTGGTATTTTTGAGTCCATGTGGTATTAGATACAAAATATTATGTGAAATACTATGTGTGTGATTTATCTCCTTCATTTTGGGCTGTTTGAACTTCTTTGTATGATTTGCGTAGATTTTTTTTTTTAAAATCAAATGAGTTGCTGCTAATTTCTACCTCTTTTTTCTTTTCTCTATTATACATGTACACTCGGGAGCGCGTATGGAGTTGCAATATGACTCCACCTCTATCCAAATTAGAGAAGCGACCTATCTTGCATTTAGCTCGTGTCTAGAATGATTCACTCATTCCAAAAGAAAATCCTGCACTTCCTCTTTATCTCAAAGCTTTATATTTTTTATGCATGCATATATGTTGTTATCTTTGACTAACATTTTATACTTTCTTTCGGCACCTATTTTTATGTTTCGTTTCAATTTATATTTGAACTTATGCAAACTAATTAACTAAGAACTTAAGCAAACCTAGTAGCTCACCTTCCCCTCCTCTAGATATTGGGTTTAACATATTAATTTGGCTTAGAACAAAGACCTATAAATTAAGTTCTTTTGTTGCTTAACTCGCTCGTTAGTTTGAGAAAGTTTTGTTTTGCAAAGAAGTTGGACCCTTTTTTTTAATGAATATGTATGTTGCTGTACTTTTTCATAAACTAAGGTCTCAAACACAACTTTTCTAACACTTTCCACAAACCTTTGTTAAAGTTAAGAACAAAAGAGTAAGTATTTGAACTCTAAAGTGATTTATTTTGAGAATTTAAAAAGGGCCGATTTGTATGTCTTTGTTTATATTTTTAAAATGTTAACTTTATAAAATGTTGATATGTCTAGAGTTTTAAAACACAACTCTTTTTGGGAATTATGAGTAGGCGAATTTGAAGATAAAAGGCTTTCAATTGGATAAAAACTTTTATTTTTTTTATCAAGGCAAAATATATTTCATTATCTTTAGCTTCAAGATTTCCTTGTTAATTCAATTTCATAAAAAAGATTTTCTTTCTTAAACAAAAAGCATTTGACTTGGCCAGCTATTTTGAAGATAACAAATTGTGCATATTTCATTCAAACTCCTTTTTTCTCGCTAAAAAATCAAGTTTAAATTAATGGTTGTTTCATTTCATTCTATTAGATCTTTCTATATGAAGTTAGTATATTTTAAGGTTTTTATACTTTAATATTTTTTAGGTTACTTTGCCATGATTTAATTAATACTAGTTTTTCTTAGCTTTTAATGGTTATTTTATTTTTTCTCTAATTAACCTAAGTTTGGCCGGTTAATAGTTTTAAAACTAATCTTAAAGGATGCCTTACCCCTTCCCTTTAGGATCAATTAGAACTCTTACCTAGAATCACATAAGTTAGTAGACCTTAATTGAAGTCAATTTTAGTATTACTTAGTTAATAATTTAGGTATCCTAATTTACCTTAAAATAATTAGGTGGCGACTTCTTAAGTTAATTAATTTGGAAATCACCAATACGTTGTACACGTTTTGACCTCGAGTTAAAATGGGGTATAACACATCCTAGATTGATATGTAATCTGAATTGACTCATGAAAAATCTTGTCGAAATATTTTTAATATTTTTTTCAATTTGATATGTTGTATACAACATAATAAAGAAAAATAATAATTTTATTAGGTACTAAAATAGTTTAAAAGAACAAATAAATTAATTAAGCTTAGTAAAAATTGGATTGGGTTGGGTCTTGACCCATAATTCAACCCATTATCTTATCCATTTTGACCCAAACAAATTTGGGTTGTATTGGGTTGGGTCTTGATTTGATTGTTGTCTTAACCCCATTATGACCCGTCCAAATTTGATCCAACCCTCCCAATTGCCATCCTTATTGAAAAGTACCATCCAAACAGTAAATCTTTAAGGGATATGACTGTAGTTGTGGTCACACCAACCCTTTCGTTCTTTTAGCTCCAAATCTCTCTATCATTTTCTTCTCTTCCACTTTGGCCAATATGAGCTCACCTGGTACTAGCAGCTTTATTCGAGAATTTCTCATCTTAGTAGGAGCATCAAGGTTTGAGCCAAATTGAGCAAGAGTGGCCACTTTGCGATATTTTGCTCACACTATTTAGGATAATTTACTTCATAGTTACTTTATTTTATGAAAAAATTACATAAATACACAACTTATTTTATCATATTCTTTAAAATGTTCTACCATTTGAAAAAAATTACAGAAATTCCTACTCTTTCCTATTCTTGGATATATCACTTTACACGATGTATTAAGACATTGATTGATGTATTCGAAACCAAGACGCGATGTATTAGGACGTCGAGCGGTGTATCAGAAATTGGGACATGATGTAACGGAACGTTTTGAGATATATCCAGATTTCACCAAATTTAAGAGCTTTTTGTGATTTGGAAAAGAGTTGAGATAAGATGTAATTAGCTCTTAACACTATGGAATTTGTGTAAAATTCTCTTATATTATTTTATAATTTAAAAGTCACTCAACTTAAAATAATTTACGCAACTTTATTTTATAACTCAAAAGTCACTCAACTTAGAGTAATTACTTAGAAAGTCACTCAGTACTTCACCTAAAAAGTCATCTAATCAATTTAAATTATTTTTTTCATTGAATTATTTTGAAATAAATTTTTTATTTTAAATTAAATTTGTAAGAAACAATAAGGTACCTAATTTAATCATTTTATTGACCTACCCCACTTAATCCAACCCGTTAAAAATATATGTGTTCTTAACTTTACGTTATTAGTATAATAATTGTGTCACTTGATTCTGTAATTGAAACGTATACAATGCACCCCTTTTTGTGCATAAGGTGAACTCTAAAATATTACTCAATTAAAAGTTAAACACAAGAAACTCTTACGATAATCCCTTCTAGCCTCCCATTAATTTGTTAAAAGGTAAAATTAGTTAAAGATTAAAGTTTAATGGGATTAAAGTCAAAGAAGTTATTCACCAGTCATCACTTTGACATAAATAATTCAACAACTATTTAATATCTCTAGCCAAACGCAGAATAAAATAATTATGTATTTTATCTCATAATTATTATACATTATACATTATACATCACATCAAACAACTCCTTAAAACTTTCTCGCGTCTACCTAGCTCAGCCTCGAATTAATGTTTATTGGGTGACTTTCTTATATGATATCTTGAACAATTCTTCACTTTTGAAGTATTTGCCTTTTTGGGTTGAAAATGACTCGATGTTTAATTTTTTTCTTAATCATGATATTACAGTGGAACCAATTACAATCTTGTTTCTCAATGGTGGCCCCATACCATCTCTCAGCGTGAGGTTGGGTGTTGACCAGTCACACATCAAAATAAAAAAAAGGATGTGTATTGGCCTATGGTCATAAACAATGAACGCTTTCGAATTTAATTTTTGAAATTGAGTTAAATTGAATATTATTTTTTAATTCGTTATAATAAAGAAGGGGGAAGTTAAATGGACAATAGCCTTGCTATTTCATTATTTGGATGCTTAAAAAATAGCATAGTGAAAATTACAGAAACACACACAAAAACGAAAAGGGAAACAAAGTAGAAAAGTTGTTTGGCAAATCTAAAATAAGTGCCAAACTGCCAAGACAACTCTAACAACATAATTCAAAGAGACTTTTCTTCTCAAATACTTATATACAATTTCAATTTTTCATGATAATTAGGCATTGCTCCTGAATGAACCAAGTGCTTTCACAGCTCCAGCCCTCAAAATAAACTGATGATAAAATGCAGCAATTGCAGCACCAATAAATGGTCCAACCCAAAATATCCACTGTTACAATTTAACAGCCAAAAATTCAATTAATCAACCAAAATATAGTATTTCAAAAATCAACAAATCAAATTTACTTACTTGGTCATCCCAAGCTTTGTGATGTCCATAAATAACAGCAGCCCCAAAACTCCTAGCAGGATTAATACCAGTTCCAGTAACAGGAATTGTAGCCAAGTGGACCATAAACACCGCAAATCCAATTGGAAGTGGCGCCAATACCTTCAATTATCAGAATTGAAGATTTAATTTAACGGATCATCATTAAACTTTACATGACAAAATTATACTTACAGGAACGTGTGAGTCTCTGGCATTCCTCTTAGGATCAGTAGCAGCAAAAACAGTGTAAACAAGAACGAAAGTTCCAATAATCTCCGCACCCAAACCGGTACCAGTACTATATCCATCATTCAACATATTAGCACCACCACCATACTGAACATAATAAGCTTTTTGAAAAGATTTAACCAATCCACAACCACAAATGGCTCCTAAACACTGAGCTACAATGTACATTATGGCCCGAACCAACGATACTTTTCGTGCCAAGAAAAGGCCGAATGTAACAGCAGGGTTAATATGTCCACCAGAAATACCAGCAGTACAATAAACAAGTACAAAAATCATACCCCCAAATGCCCAAGCAATTCCAAGAATACCAACACCACCACATTGGTCAGTGGAACTCTGGCTTTTGTACCCAATAACAGTGAGAACAGTTATGTAGAGAAATAAAAGAGTAGCTATGAATTCAGCAATTATGGCTCTGTAAAATGACCATTTTCCTAACTCTTCAGGGTCAATTAAGGGTGCTGGGGGAGGATCTTGGTAATCTTTTGGGGCATATTCAGTGGCAACTTCAATGTCTTTTGCCATTTGTACACCAAAAAAGAAGAAAGAAGAATATGTTAATTTTGTGATTTGAGAAAACAGAGTGTAGTGGAATGGATAAGGAGTGAAAGGGGTATTTATGGAGAAAATTGGCCTAATAATTAAAGTCTCATACTCATTTATTTTTAATCAGAGTTCTTGTGTTTAAATGTTCAAAAATAAAATAAAATAAAATAATATTGAAATTGTGCACTTTAGAAATAAACCGTGTACTATGTAAATTTGAAATATTTAATATGAATATCAGATATCAAACGAAAAAAAGAAAAATTCAATAATTGAAGTGATATTGAGGAGGTGGATGTATGTAGTAGTTTCCATATTTTTCTTTGTCCTTTTTAGTGGTAGAGTGACACCTACCTCTAACTCGTGGGTCGGCAAATTTGTGGGGTACGTTGGGCACCGAATTTCGATTGGGATCCGTTCGATACGGAAAAAAATATTTTAATGTAAAAATGGTTCTTCACAATTTCTATGAAAATAAATTTTATAAAAATAAAAAAATATTGATTTTTGTTGAAATAGAAAATTTCATGAGTAATGTTTTTCGTATTTTGTCCTTCACATCTTCCGACATTAATACTCAACATTAAGTTACACTAGAACATTCGTTCAATGAGGTTGTTGAGAATTGAATATATGTTTTTTTTTGAAAAATCAAATTCAATTTATTTTCCTTCTGTGTGTTTCACATTTTTCTTATTAACCTTTTGAAAATTGAAACCAATAAAAATTTTCCCCATCCGGCATCAAAAAATAGTTTTGAGGTCTCGTTAATCTGAATTCAAATTATACCAAATATATTACTATAAAATTTTCATTTTCAAGATTCGAACCTCAACTTTTTTTATCAGGAATATAATGTTCTTTATTTATGCTGTCCAAATTTTCAAGTGGACCAATAATAGCAATTACCAAAAAGAATAATCTTATACCAAGAGAATTCTTTGCCAAAAAACACAATCAGCTAGCGCATGAAATTACAGTACTATAAATAGACTGAAATTATAATAATTATTTTTTTTTGTGCATTTTGATCGATTATTTCAAGTTTTTTTTTGTTATTTAGGTTTTGGATTCAGCATGGACGAAAATGACCTTTGATGACATATCAAAATCAAACGGCAAAAAAATTTCAATCACACAAAACCGACCATCATCATCATGAATGATGAACCATTTCTTTTTTCTCTATTGTAGGTCCTTTTAGACCGCCCACTAACCTGTCTCCACGTCAGCAATAGTTATCTGTATTCGATATTCATATTAAAATCCGATTAATTTAAGTTTACGCTACTTAGTGCTCCATTTAAGGAACAACACTTCCTACCAAACTAATTCTTAAACAAAACTTGAATTCAAAATCTCTAATTAAGAAACAAGCAGTTGCATCCACTACCACGTCCTTTAGTTGTCTTTCTAAAATAATATGGAAAGAAAGTGTATGCAAAGGGTATAATTCTAGAGGGATACCAATATTTTTTCACATCTAATGTATAATTTGTGTTCTTAATATCGACTTATACAATATTAACTCAAGTCCATGAAGATATTTTTATGTATTGCTCTTTAAGCCTAGGCACATAACGAGACAAATTCAAGGCTCATAATCAATATATTGATTGATCATTAAGTAAAAAAGGCGCTTACCATAGTATTTCAGGCTAAAAAAAAAATTCTATAATTGTATAATTATCAAGTTAAAAAAATAAGTCAACCTCGAAATCAAATATGATCATCTTGTTTTTTTTTTTCCGTAACAAATGGCATTATGTCATCTTGAGTGAGCTTGATAAGAAAAAAAAAATGTGCAAATTAGGGAAAGGTCATGACTCATGACCTCCAATTTAGAAAAGAAGCAAAATATACTTTAGAAAATAGTGGCATGTGGTGAAAAAGATTGCCACGTGTTGAACAATAAGAGATCAATGGAAAAAAAATAATTCACAACAATCATATGGTTAGTATAAAAATTAGGGTTGTGGATGATATTGAATGGTCGGTGTGCACATTGTCTTTATTCAATGAATCTCCACTAGTTTTGTCTATGTTTGATTATTGAAAAAAGTTAAAAGTCTCGCACTCCTTACTATCATTATTATTAATAGTACATATAATAATATGTCACATATACACCTTTACTAATGAACCTTCTGGATGGATAATCTTGTGAGTTGTGATAAGTATAGCATAATATGATAAATTAAACAGATCAAAACAAGAGATTTTTGTTGGGATTAACTAAATATTTTATAATAATGTCATTTAATTTGTCTGATTTTTAGTATTTAGAATTAGGTTAGGAGGGTATCTTTAACTTCTTTTTTCTCATCAGAGTTATTTCAGAAAAAACCTATTAAGGAAAAAAAAAAGTGGTTCAAAGAAAACTAGATATTATAAAGAGATTTAATTGTATTCAAGACTCGTGTATTTGTTAAGTGAAATTACAAGTATTGCAATGCGACTTCAATTATATTATCTCATTTGTGGAATTTTATTTTGAATTTACTTGACAATAAAGAAGAGAATGCACATTCAACGACTATGTGACATGACACCATTTCATCAGAAAAAATTACTACTAAATATAGAATTTCATATGAGTATTGTGCAAAAGTAAATATATAAAACATAAGTGATACCACTATACTATATATATATACCTTATACTTTATAGGGTCAACTAAACCAACATAACAAGGCTATTTTGTTTATATGAATGTAATACTTACTTAATACATCTTGTATAAATATTTGAACGTTGTATGTACAGTCACTATTGAGAATTAATGATAAAGTGAACTCTACAAGTGACTGTACACTTACAAGTGAGAATTAATGATATTAGATGAGGAAAATTATGCGAAAAAATAAATATATACTAGTAAATTAACTAATATAGCTATAATTTAAATTAATTACGGCTTACAGCTTAATTTTAGCTTTAATTACATCACATGTCCTCTTTTATATAAATACAAATACAAATTATACATATATATATAAAATTATATGACATATATACAAATATAATTAGCCTCTCTCCACTTTCTGACCTTTCTCGCTCGCCTCTCTCCTCTCTTCCCCAATTTCGCTCGCCTCTCTCCTCCATCTCCCAATCTCTCGCCATATATACAATTATATATGTATATATATATATATATATATATATACACACACACAATTTTCTAACAAATATACATATACAATTCGCCTCTCTCCACTCTCTTCCCTCTCTCGCTCGCCTCTCTCCTCTCTCTCCCAATCTCGCTCTCCAGATATACAAATACAAATGCATACTAGTTACATATATACAATTATTTGACATATATACATATACAATTCGACATATATACATATACAATTCGCCTCTCTCCACTCTCTGTCCTCTCTCACTCACCTCTCTCCTCCCTCTCCCAATCTCGCTCGCCGCTCTCCTCCCTATAATATGTAGCTACGAATCATAATTAGCAAATTATAGTTATGAAGCGTAATTAAGCTATTTTTGAATGACTATATGTGAAAGTTGCCCTATTAGATGTTACACTAAGATTTTTCGAAAAAACTTATTCAAGATTTTCAAAATAATATATAGCACGTTACGGTACAAGATTGTATAAAAAAGAAGAATGATTGATTAAGGTGGGTTCTGCCTCTAGCTATAAGGTTCTTTAATTTCTCCTACCTAACCAATTGAATTATTTGTTCGTACGATATAATTAATATACATTGATATTACAAAAAATATATTACCTTACCATTATATAAAATGAAAAAAATATTGTTGAATTAAAATATAAAAGTTTATTTTCTCAATAGTGAGGATTGAAGGTGAGGCCTTTGCTGAGAGCCTGAAATGGTGAGACATGAGTGGTTGAAGGAATCAACAAGGTGGGCTGAGTTGGAATGGACGGTAATGGTGTGTATTTTGTTTTTGATGTCTGATATATACATTGAAATCAATTAATATTCAGTTTTATATCGAAAAATTTCATATAAAGAAATAAATCACTTTCTAATAAAGATAAATCTTAAAGTGAATTCTTAGATTAGAGTTGGTCTAATTTGTGTATAATGTGTATGTCCTGTCCTTACTTACCTCTATTAGATTGGATTCAAAATTTTAAAGTTTAGTGAATTTAATTATAGTTTTTACACATTTGTGATTAAGTGATAAATACTTTTTTATTTTTAATTAGATATCTTAAAATTTGATCTGAAACTTTTCGTGGCAAATTCGAATTTAGTTTGACTTACCGAGCAAGCCTATATTGAGTGCTTGACATGTTACGAACTATGGAGCCATATTTAGTGAAGGGTAGACTAGTAGTGTACATCCTTTATGAAAAAAATATGTCTCGTATCGTAGTTAAATGTTACTCTCTCCGTCCCATTTTATGCGAGGTAGTTTGACTCGACACAGAGTTTAAGAAAGAAATGAAGACTTTTAAAACTTGTGGTCTAAAATGAATGATAGAAATTTATTTGGCTATAAATCATTTGATCAAGGATAAAATAAATATTTTAAAGTTAAATTGTTACTTAGTATAAAAATGTGTCATTTTTTTTTAACAGACTAAAAATGAAAGTAAATCATATAAATAGGAACATAGAGAGTAATTAATATAATTAAGCATATACTTAGTTTTGGACGCTCTTAACATAATTGAGAAAAAAATTTACCCATCATGCGCTAAATTTCTGATTCCGCCACTGATACTCCGTTCCAAGGAAATTTGCGGCTATGAGGTAGGGACATTAAACCATATGAAAAATGCAAGAAATTGAGAGTGATTATTATGGGGCGGCAAATGATATGTTTGATTAATTATTAATCCATTAAATTAGTGTTAATGTAACACCCTCTAATTAAATACCCAACTCCATAAATACCGCTATCAATCTTCAACCAAATATCAAACACTTTTCAACATCACTCTTTACTTAGCCCAAAAAAAAAAAAACAGAGAGCCAAAAATGGGTAAAGACATTGAAGTTGGTACTGAATATGCACCAAAAGACTACCAAGACCCA